ACCAATGCCCCTGTTGAGTACAAGTTGTCTCCAGAGACCGGCGAGAAGGTTGGACGGTGTCTGCTCCTGGGCTTCGTTGTATTTCAAATAGATGCAGGCTACACCAATATCATGGTTGTTTTGAGATTCAGCACTGAGATGGTCCACAACCATTGATCTAGAATTGCCATAGTTAGCATCAACTACTCAATATAGTGAATAAGCGAACGCAAGGACAGTTTTCCCGGCACCAGCTGTAAATTTCAGGTTGCTTAGTTTAGATGAGGTCAAAGCATTACATACGCATTCCAAGCCACCATAGTGTCCCTCCAGACCCAGACTTCCATCGTTTAAATGCATCGTCTGCAAGTAGCCAGCCACCAGTCCCATTTTCCCGTGCCCGTGAAATATCTGCATGACGTTGAAAGAAATTGATGGGTGAAAACCAGTTGAGGAAGGCTAGGCGGGAAGTTTCCACTTCTTCTTCCTTGTTGCCATGATGTATCACGATGGATCCAGGTCCAGTATTCACAATGGGACCCTCCCCAAGGCCTCCACTACCACCCTCTTGATTGGCCTGCCCTCCAGAGCCACCGGTGCCTCCTGGGTAAAATGAATAACAATGTTAGTACACTAATCAATTTCTCTCGCACCATGGATATTTGGTCGCGGTGGTCGTAAGATAGCATAGACCTGATTATATGTAAGGTATATAAGCGGGGTGTCAAAGCTCACATGGGAAACAGAACTGACCAAACAAAGCAGGAGAAGGATATAAATCATGAGGAGTATATGCAGTACACTTGGAGGTGAAACGGAAAGAACTGAGGACTAAATGACAATTTGACAAAGATCAGAGGGGAGATCGAAGAAACACGCACAGAACACGTTGCACTTTAAATTCGGCACAAGGCTGCGACGGCAGGTTCGGGGAAGTCGAACTTAGATTGATGTGGTGCTTCGGCGATGACAGGCCAACAGCGGCACTTTTAGATTGACGAACCGAGGGAATTGTAGACAGTTTTTGTAGCTCAGTGCTGACAAGCTGGAGGGTTCTAGCCGGGGTGCCCAGAGTGAGGACCTGATGGTGTTCACTGTTTTGCGGCCGCTCAGTATTCTTCAGATGCGCGAAACTTCCAATTTGACAGCAAGCTCCCATCTTGTGCTGACAGAAAATGGAGTGCATTCGGAGACGGTGCCAATCAACATTGCCAAGTTCAGCATGTCTGTCCAGACTCCGTTCTCATTGATTACGAGTTCCTGTTTCCATTTCCTGCAGATTTGAATTTTGCTGATGTGCTATCGTATTCACCAGAGGAAGACTGTGCTTTACAGCTCTTTGCATAAGTAATGGCACTACCCCTATCTTTAGAAGAAAGAGCATTTTGAACCCTACCGGGTTTTCAGCTCATCACTCCCTCATTTGTGAACGGATTGACATAATTCTGGGTGGGTTGGAGAGCTGGTAAGGCAGGCTTTCAATTGCTATGGGTCTTGCCCTTTAATTCAAAGGTTTCAGCTATGCCAAAGATCAGCCTTGGTGATGTCAATCCCACATTGGAAGCCCGGTAGGGTTCAAAATGGACAAAATGTAAGTTTCCCTCGTTTTTACTTACCTGCTGTCAACAGGAAGTAACCTAACTCCGGGGTTCTGACTCTTTATGCTGCTTTGCCGTGTTCGGCCAACAATTGAGTCACATCAGTCACATTTAGCTGTGTTCACTGCCTCGCACTGCCCTTTAAACTCCGAAGATTTGTAATAAGCGAATACCCTGATCGGACCACCGCGGTAAACTCCGGATTAGGTCTAGGGGGACCATTGCCGTAGTGTTGCCGATGTCCGCTTCGGTGAGTTATATGCCCGGAGTCCCGGACCCTGAACGTACATCGGTGTACATCGGCGTACATCGGTTTCATCGGACAACAATGAACATCACTGATGCAACCGCCGTTCGGCGATGTTCACTGTGATGCGACCGTTCCGTTCGGCGATTTTCATTGGCTACGCGGTGTGCGCCGTTGATCGCGTGATTTAAACTGATGTTCAATCACTCTCGGCAACATCCGCCGTACTTCAACGAATCGGTGTGTGGTTTCCCTTCGCATAGAGGCCGTTCACTGGGACTGTGCAGTGTTTTCTTGCAAGATACATCTTGGTTTTTGCGTCTGAGCTGGAACAATTCAACGTTGGAACTTAGAGATTGCACATTTGGCTTGAATGTGGCTCGAGTTCAGTGAATTCCACCGAATTCCACCGGACTTCAGCAGGAGAAAAATATTTTGTACCTGTCGCAGCGGGGAATCCTGTTTTTTTTCGCACCTTCGCTCGGATTCATCGGAATTCAGTGTACATTTTTTATTTCCAAGGGTTTCCAGTGTGTTGTGTGATATACACTGGAATTCATAGGAATACAGTGGAGGTTCGGTGGGACTTCACTGAATTTCCGTGTATCTGACCGTTGCCGGTCCGGGCATATTACAGGGTTGGTTGGAACGCGATCATTGATCTCGCCTACTTGCCGAAAATTCCTCGACGTCTACTCACCCATCGTGAATCCTTGCAGGATTCTGTCCTTTGCACACTTCCTGGTTTAAGTTTGGGCCCTTGCAGGCCTAATGTGGGTGTATTGGTTGAATCTACACTGAGTTCAACATTCCATCAGTTGAATGTTTTGAATGATAAAAATGGTGGTCACAGGTCCCAGCCCACTTTAAATCTGTTAGAAGTTGAATCTAATAGGTCACAGGTCACAAGGCCTGAATCTACGGTCGAAATAGTACAGTATATCCGATAATTGAAGCTGCACCGGATACTAATACTTACAAGGTGCAGCAGGGAGGGGGTGCAAAAGAAAGACTGAGGACTTCGGGATCATTCGGACGCTGGGAGTCGAACCCAATCCTTGCTTCGATACGCGAACAGTACTGGCTGAGCGCTGAATATTGACCGCAGGTGTACACCGCGTACCACGTCCGAATTATTGGCAATGCTTGTTCGAACACCTGTATAGACGGAGAATTATGTGTTATGTGTGCCGGACCGCGGCGCGCGAATATTAATCTTGATTCTTGAAGGCGTGGAATTCCACCGGCTCAGAGTCAGAGCAAAGTCGTCGCTGCGTCCGTTGGAAAATGTCAGCAATTGTGTGCGCACCGTGTAGCATCCGCTTTCTTGCTGGCATGTGCCGTATACGTACTTATTACCTGTGCGGACGGAAGAAAAAAGTGAACCAGTTAACATTGAAGTCAAATGAAAGAGAACTCAAATCCCTGCTTCGAGCGTTCATCGACCATATGGACCGCAGGTGTACACCGCGTACCACGCCCGATTCTCACTTGGCTGCTTGGTTGATTCGTTGAATAAGAGTCTGTGTCTCTGTGTGTCAGACACGCGCGCGCGAAACCTGAACGCGAGTTCAACATTCGGGATATACTAGTATGTCAATGATAAATCCGCACGCTGTAAATGCCCCGACGTCTATGATTTATATTGAAGCCGCACCATCCAATTAGGTTCGCAAGGAGGGTAACAAGAGAAATGCAGAGGATAATTCGGACGCTGGGAGTCGAACCCAGACTGCCTGCTTTGATACACCGCGTCAGTCGAATTAACCGCAGGCGCGCGCCGTGCCACATCCGATTGCTTGCTTGGTTGAACACTGCGATGCATGCCATTTTTTTGAATCTCACGGACTGGGGGAAAAAGTCGATCTGCCTGATCTTCCAGAGACCAAAGCGACAGGGAAAGCCGTGACGGCGGTTTCGGCTTTGACATTGGGGTTAGCCCGTATTACGATGGATGTGTAAACCCGCATCCCTCGATAGACCTTTAAACGCGTAAGACAGAGTTATAGGCACAGCGTAAAAAGAACGGTGCATGAGAGCCTCTTATTCGGACGCTGGGAGTCGAACCCAAATCCCTGCTTCGATTTGTGTACCGTACTGAATAAATATTGACCGCAGGTGTACACCGCGCACCACGTCCGATTCATTCCTTGGTTGCTTGCATGGTTGAATAAGAGTCACAGTCCGTGTGTCAGACGTGGGCGCGAAACCTGAACGCGAGTTCAACATTCGGGATGTACTAGTATGTCAATGATAAATCCGCACGCCGTAAATGCCCCAACGTCTATAATTTATATTGAAGCCGCACCATCCAATTAGGTTCGCAGGGAGGGGCAACAAAAAAAGGTAGAAGAACAACTTATTCGGACGCTGGGAGTCGAACCCAGATCGCCTGCTTCGACATGCACACGGCTTCGATATTGACCGCGGGTGTACACCGCGTACCACGCCCGATTCATTGTTTGGTTGTTGGTTGCTTGGTTGAATACGAGTCTGATTCCGTGTGTCAGACACGCGCGCGAAACCTGCGGTTGAAGCGGTTCAGTTTTTCAACATCCGGGATATGTAATAAATGATAAATCCGCACGCTGTAAATGCCTCAACCTCTGTATTCGATAATAAAGCTGCACCGGATACTGATACTTGCAGAGGATTGCAGGGAGAGGGCGCAAACAAAAATATTTAGACAACTGGCCCATCCGGATGCTGGGAGTCGAACCCAGATAGATCCTTGCTTCACAGTTGATCCACATAGATTGACGCAGGTGTACACCGCGTACTACGTCCGATTGTTTACTCGCTTGGGTCTGGCTGGTTTGGTTGGTTGGTTACATACTGGCATTGAGGCCGAGGGAGAACCCAGACGTGCGCGAATGCATTTTTAAAAAGAATTCGGACGTTCAACCGTGGCTTCGATAAGTGAAGCCGCACCACCCAATTAGGTTCGTAGGCAGAGGACGCAAAAAAAGTGGAAGAGGGGTAATTCGGATGCTGGGAGTCGAACCCAGACCGCCTGCTTCGATATAGTTCGGGATCCTCATCCATTAACCGCAGGTGTACACCGCGTACTACGTCCGTTTTATTGCTTGGGTCTGGTTGGTTGGTTAGTTGAATACCTGTCAAATAGGTTCGCAGGGAGAGGGCATCAAAAAAAAAAGAGCAAGAGAACTTTACGATTCGGACGCTGGGAGTCGAACCCAGACCGCCTACTTCGATATAGTTCGCAGGATCCTCATCAATTAACCGCAGGTGTACACCGCGTACCACGTCCGATGTATTGCTTGGTTCAAATTGAACATCTCGCCCCGAATGAAGTGCGTCAGTTAAAACCGAAGTACTCAGATAGATTCACCGGAAGAGACTCACCAACCTACATCGGCCGCGTTGGCCACGTTGGCGGAAGGCCGCTCGTCGCTCGACACTACACCTTTCGAGATGAGGAGAGAGATGCCTCTGCATCGCAGTAAAAGTACACCGCGCATTTCATTTCATTTTCTCGCTGCTCGCTGCTCATTACACAAAACTTAATCTACAACAAGTCCGTCGCGCACGCGCACGCACATTCACTCACATCCCGCCACTTACGAAGAAGACCCTACATGCATCTTCTCCTTCAACTTCTGCAACAACTTCCCCTTCCGCCCCTTCCCCTTCCCGCCCCACGCGCCCTCCGTTTTGCCATCCCCATCTCCTCCTTCCCCTTCCTCCGCACTGCCGCCGCTACTATCCGCATCAGGGGTAGAGCTCGACGTATTGTACTCCGTCGACGGCGGGTCGCCGGTGGGCACCAAATTACCCGTGTGCACACCCGCACCCGAATGCTCGTGGTGCGCGGACCGATCGAAGTCCCCCGTCGGGACTACGTCCGCCAACCGGCTCGAATTGAGCGCTGCGCTGCCCTGCACCCCGTGTGTAGACTGCGCCCCGGTAGTGGAAGAGAGCCCGAGGTCGCCCACGAACGGCGGGAACGTCGCCCCGTTGTTGCTGTTGTTACCAGAGTGGGGAGGAGGAGGAGGTGGGGAGACGAGCCCACTCTCGCTCGACGCGGCGTACCCGCTATCAATAGAAGAGGAGGGGAGGGGAACAGCGTGCGGAGTCGGGTGGCGGGCCACCGCTGCGTCGAGAGATTGTGTCGGGTAGGCGTGTACGTTGGGCGTCGAAGTGGTGGCAGAGGTAGAAGAAGAGGCGGAATCGTACGTATGCGCAGGATACGCATGCACGTGCGGCTGCGGCCCCGCGGCGGGGTGCGAGGGCAGGAGGTCGGGGCTGGGCGTCGGGCGCCCCGCGGCGGACGAGGATGCGACGACGGGATGCGATGCGAGCAGGCCCGATGTGGACCTCGGGCGCCCAGCGTTGACGCCCACCGCGCCCGAGAGCGGGGACGACACGGGGTGCTCAGCAGCTAGCGCGAGCTCGGTACTCGCCCTCGGCTCCAGCGCGGTGGGGGATTGCACTACCGCGGGCGATGGAGGGCCGGGGGCCCCGAGGGCTGGACTGGGCGTGTGCGCATCGCCGCCGCCGCCGACGCCGGGGTGCGAGGAAAGCAGCCCCGATGCGGGCGGCGGGACGCCGGTCGCGGACGCCGCGTGGCCCGTGTGCGCCGTGGTCGAGTGCGTTGGGGACGAGGGTGAGAATGCGCCCACGCCTGCGAGCCCCGGGCCTGAGTGGGTGCTGGTGCTTGTGGCGAAGGACGTTTGCGATTGCGCGTCGGATTGGGGTTGTGAATAGGGCTCTGGCGCGGACTCGGTGTAGGGGACGGTGGCGCCGTGCCCGACGTTGACGGTGCTGCTGCTGTTGGTGTCTTGCCGATAGGGCTCTGGCGCGGACTCGGTGTACGGTACGCTGGTAGCGTGTCCGACGTCGACAGGCGCGGATGCGGTGGATGGGGACGAGGCTGTATTGAAACACATAGGTGAGTGTTATCCACTCAGCGGAAGAATTATAACAAGGAAGACGTACGCAGATACGCAGCAACGCCCTGCGGAAGGTACGCCTTCGCCTGCTCGAGTGAGGGCAAGTACGACTGCGCGCTGGCGAGGAGTGCGCTCGCCTACTCCTGCGCATGAGCAGCCCCAACGTTGGGCGTGCTGGAATAGGACTCGGACTCGAGGTGGGTGGGGAACCGCCAGCGACGGCGGGGCCGGGCGTGCGTGTGATGTGGGTTGCCGTCGGCCCATTCATCGGTGGGGTGGGGGCTGGAGAGGAGATTCGTCGCCATAGGGGTCGAGTTATCTTAGAAGCGGCGCAAGTAGAAATCCAAGTTTCCAAGTTTCTTGAATTTCGTGCAAGCTATACAGAGACGCGGTAGCAGACAAGTATTTGAGCGCATCTTGGCGCAGGCCTTTATGTTGCAATACAGGACTGCGATAACGTCGGGAATGGTCAAGGAGAAAGAGAGGGTGCGGGAAGCTGTAGACAAACTAGTGTTTGAGGGCCATTGCTGCACATGGCAGGACGAGTCCTTTTTAATTTGTCAGCCATCTGTCAGTACACGCTCAACGGCTTAGCGTCGGCCATCACCCTACGTTTTCGATTTCGCTGATCTGAGGTCCCTCCCATCCGGAATGTGTGCGGGAAATCAGGTCAGACACGGCCGACGGCATTTACTCGAAACAGAGTAAGAGTCACCTTGGTTGTTATACTGTGACTGTCGCTTTGTATGCCAGAGTTCAGTAAATTGTCAGGTTCAACATAGTCAGGTTCAACATATTTTAGGGCAGGTCATTTGTTGTTCGATTATTTATTTATTTATTTGGTGGGACGTTAAATTGAGAAGGTAAGAAGCTCTCATACGACTTCCTCACTGAGCTGCTTCTAAATTCCCCAGAAATCCGCCAAGGACCGCCAAGGACGGCCCCCTCCTCCCGCCATAAAAGAAGCCGGGACTAGGAATTTAACCCAGCCGACAGTATCCACCCGAGGAAATGTGCAGCCGCACATACACTCGATTTCTTGCAGGCGCCGTCTGGGGTTTGAGTTACGCGCCCATTTCTGGGTCATCATTATCAACACCTAACCCACATCCACTAAAACACGGGTCTCCTTGGTCCAATCTTCAACTTGAAGGAGTCTGTCTTCGTTAAGTAGTGTCTTTTGCCATGTCTTAAGCACCAAAGCTTTATTGACTGATTTGCTCCCATATTTTGCCTTGTTGGAAAGAAGGCAGTCTAGGGCAATCCATTTGTTGATGGTTTTTAGCCATCTGTTCTTGATTTCCTGGTTAGATGCTCCACCTTTCTCCCGAATCACTCTCTCGTTACAAAGACACCATATCAGGTATGCTGATTCGGACACCAGGATCCGGAACAGGCGAGTAGTTGCCTGATCACCTCAGGTAATGGCTCCACATACCATTATCTGTCGTTCGAATTCAATAGTTCAACTGCTGCAAAATCTATCGGCGCCGGGAATAACCGGCAGAAATCTTGTACAAGCTAAGTCTTTTGTATTTAGCAAATGCTTATATCCTCCAGACTATTGCGGCCACCACAATCCAACACCCTGACCACCCAAGCCCTGAAGCCGGGGGGGTTCGATCGTTCCACAACCGCCGGTAAACGCAGACTGATAGGCACATCGGCATTGCGCGGAACACGGTTGCTAGGGCTAGCCGAGGGAATCCGCATCAACCGAAATCCGACTCGGCTTATCGGCACATCGGCATGTTATCCTTTGGAACGACAACGCAACGGACTCGAGAAACAATATAATTCAACGAGAAGGCCGACACGGATGCCATCGAATGGAGGGTCGCATCGTGCAACGTGTACGGCTGCTAAATCCAGCTGCGGATTGTTCCTGACTCATTTTGAGGCAAAACACCCCGGAAACCGTGCCGAAACGACACAGAACAAGTCATCGCGAGTGCGCTGGCCCCAAGAGCAGCTAGTATCAGGTGATGTCGAGATGTTACCCCCAGGATCGATGATATCATGTCTGGCAGGATTTTTCTTGGTGTTAATCTTTGCAAGAAAAACGATTCTAAAAATTTCATTTTTAGGACTCGTAACAAGGCATAGTTGATGGCATCACGCGCGTTTTGCCTCTTGCTTTCATGTCTCGCGCGTTCGCAGGCTGAGCAGACGACTTACCGCTCACAAACGGCGAATAAGTTAGTTAGGAAGTCCCGCTCCTTCATTCAACTTGCCAAAAGCTTCACTCCCATTGGCAAGGTCGCGCGATTGATGACTGGATCAGCTGGGTCCGAGCCCGTTACCTCGCGATGGCTCGAACCTGCTTTCCACTTGCTCAATATACATGTCAACTCCACCCTAAATATCCGATACAGCAAGCTCGCCTCAAATATTTTACTCAGAACTTCCACGGAATTCTTGTATTCACCGTTCTGCAACTCGGACTCCCAGAATTCAACCAGAATCTAATCCATGGAATTCAAGACGCCCAAAATAAACCCTCCCTGCCTGTTGGAACTTGTGTTCGCGCTTCAAATTTACGTGGTTCCACATGGCACTCCGAAAACTGTAAACACCCGCGGGATGGCAGCGTCAAGACTGTTAAAATCGTGGTATACGGGGTTGCAGGTAATCTTACCATTTACCGTGAGACCACTCCCTTGGATTTGAACAACCGGCGGGCGGAGCTTGTAAAGATATCTGGTAAGTACTTCTGAGATCAGATTCAGTTTGTACCATTTCCAACACCTCGCGCGGCAGCTCTCCAAGATAGTTCTAGATTACTTGTAAGCATTCCGGCCACCAATAACTCTGAAGAGCTCGTAGCCCAAATTTCTAAACCCCAGTGCCGTGACTGATTAAATAGCTACATTGTCGAATCTCTAGGCGATGTAATACTCAATAGCTACTCAGTGGTTGTACCGAAGACCCTCCGAGAACTTCCCTCTCTTCGTTGCCTTTTCGATTTCTTTTTCCTCTTTCCCGCCACAAGACCCAGTACATTGAAAAAAATATATTTCTCGCGGCTCGCCCGCGTCTGCACAAGTCCCAACAGGTTATCCGCGTATACAGGCATTCAATCAAGTAACAAATCGGACGTAGTGCACCGTGTACACCTGCGGCTATGGACTTCCCTTTCTTGGCATACCGAAGCAGACGAAGTCCCAGCGTCCGAATAAGCCAAATAGGCTTTTTATTCTTGCGTTTCCACACCGCGGATTTGGAGTGAAAATTGCCCCGTAGTCCTAAAAGTTGTATCCCGATCAAACACCGGACATCACGATTATTCCTCATCTCACTGCCTACTTTGTAAACCGTTTATAGCAGCGTTCGAACAAACAAGAAATTGGGCGTAGTACA